AAATAAAAAAATAATAATTAATCCCATCTTTTACGTCACACCATGGAGGTTTTATCAGTTGATTGTGTTGCTAATTACAAACTCTCACCATCAGCTGATGAAATGCTTTCATGGTGTGTAGTGTTAGCATTGCAACCATGACATGTGCCGTCTGGTCCTCCTGACAGGTGGGTCTGTAGGTGAATAATTTAGCTTGTGAACCACTTGTCAACTTTAGACAGCATCTTAAGCTATAACAGCCCCTGTTTACACCGTTATTTTTTTAATGTAGCATCAGAGGCTAAAGGTTTTTGAATTCATCCTTAAACAAAGGCTAATATTATTATTGTGCTAAAATAACTGTGTCATGTGCTCATGTGTATGTTGACCAAACATGTTAGGAGCTCATCAGTGACATCTCTCGGACAGGAGGTGAATATGTTACTGACATACCTGACATTAGACCTTTTTAATGATGTCTTGGTTTGCCAACATCAGGCTACAAGTTAAATGAGATTTTGTGTAATTGTAAAAATTCTCTCTGGAAGAACATCTGAACAATTTATTTAAAAAAGCGTGAAGGTTTAGTCATCAGATATGTACCAATATGAAAACTGTTTTCTTTCAGGTAATGCAAAAAGGCTTGTAGTTTTTAGCTATTTTGGGTAGGGGATTTATTCTTTATTTTCTCAGACTTCTGAGTACCTTTGCCGAGTCATTATAGTGCAGACTGTTTTAATTCCAGCTCATAAAATCTGTAAAATTTTCCCCTCTAAAATCAGTATCAGTACCTGTCTTAAAAAAACGGTCGGGCTCTCGACAGTCACTCCTGCTGGGGCTTTAACTAGCTATGAAAGAAATCTTAGTGATGTAAACACAACCTAGTAATACTCTAGTGATACTATGTTGGAGTTTGTAAATGGAGGTAGTGTCTGTGCCCTTTGCAGTTTAGAGACTACAAGGTTAAAGTTAATCTTGATGGACTTCATTCAGGATGATGCCCACAGAAGTACTGTGTGAATTTGAGAGCATTACAAACTTTACTAAACCAAAATTACATAGCTTCATACTAAAGACCAGGATAAGGCTTTAGAAGACTAATTTAAATATGAATACTAATGACAACAATACATCTCTGTTTAGCATAATAATATCAGAGTAGCTGTTCACCATACAGTAGATTATTAAAAGTGATGAAAAAGTTTCCCAGGCTTGGTGGATAAAGTGGCTTTGCTGAACAATTGTTGCAACAAACAAAAAAACAGTAAACCCCTGCTGCTTGTTTTCTTGCTGCATAGCTTGCGTCATTGCTCGTGCACCAAGACACTAAACTTGAGATAGATCTCTGGTCTCACACAACGACCACAAGTAGGTTGAATTGTCATGGGTGCAATTTGTTCTGCACAAGCTCAAGAACAAAATGTGTGCGGACTCTGTTCCTGCTGTCATTTCCAAATGACACATAATGATTATTTGGTAGGAACAAAAACATTATTTTTTTCATACAGATTTTTAAAAGTGATTTTCAGCTGCAGAGTCCTTCTTTTTAAAGTGATAAAGCCTGTTCAGGTAGTCACTGAAATTGTCATCTTTTGTGATAAAAATTCATATTTTCTTTTGCTTCCTGGTTATTAGGAGCTCCAGCTTTATTTGCCTAAAAACGCCAAATTTTCACTTTCTTATGGTAGACTTGCTCCAAATTGATTTATCAATGAAGTCCTTTACAAAAATGCTTAATCACAAACCAGCATGTTACAACGGCTCAATGAGAATAGAAGGAAAACAAAAGGCTTCCACCTTTTTTATACGAGGCCAGTGCAATGTGTGTGTGCGTTTGTAATCATGGATTTTTAGCCACATTAGCAGCATGGCTTTTGCTCTGTGGTCTGCTCCACTTTATGCACAGTGAAATATTTCAAGGACTGGATGGATTGCCATTAAAATCTTGTACAGATGATGTATCCTAATGACTTAAGTGATCCCTGAAATTTCCTCTAGAGCCACAATCAGGTTTAAATGACTAAAATACTTTAGATTATGTCCAAATGAAAAAACCTGTACTTTGTGTTTAGTGCAAATTAGTAAATGCTAGCATGCTAACACACCAAATAAATGTTCTGCTTTATCGATCTCCTTTATTATATTTTGTAAAAAAAAAAAGTCTATCCAGAGCATTCTATGAATTAGATACATATACATGAACCAGGCCTATCAGATGGCCCACAAACTGATTAACATGCAATGATCAGTTGTACTACTGAATGCATATACTGTAGATTATAAATGTGGGTGCTGTATTAAATTTAAATGCATTTCTTGTGCATTAATTTTGTGCTCCAGGCCTACAAATTCTGATGCATTATGCAGAAAGCCTTTCATTATTATTAGTGAAAATCCTTATTTTTGCTAACAAAATGGCTTTGAGGAAGAAAAAGATGTACCAACATGTTTCACAAATTCATATCAGAATTGCATTATTAAATCCAGATGTGGTTTCTTGATAATTTACAGCTCTAAACCACAGACAGCTTTCAGTCTTCAACTTTCTCTTCTTCTTTGCTCAAACCTGTCAGATTTGTCTGAAATCTAGCAGTATTTCCCTCAAATTGTGCGCTCATGCAATGGTCAGTTGTCAGGTGCAAAACACCTTCTTGGTTTGACTGTGTTGGTACTGAACCTCTCCTCTCTCCATTCCCTAACTGCCAAGTATAGTTTTCCCAAGTATAGTTCCTTCCCCAAGCTCGGTGTCTCTGCTGCTCTCCACTCTCATACCTGCCCTACTTTCACACCACTCACACAATTTACAAGTTTCACACTCCTTCCCTCTTTCTCTCTCTCTCTCTCTCTCTCTCTCTCTCTGTCTCTTTCACACACACACCAGAAGCCTCAGTTTTACCTCAAACCAGAAATATACATACACACATTGAGTACATGTACATATTAAAAGCTTCAAAAGATTACTGTGTGTTTTTTTCTACTATGCATGTAGTTTTTGTGACTTGTACCAGCATTATTACAGTACAGCACACTAGTGGTGCAGTAGTACAAGACAGTACATTACAGTACAATAAAAAGAGTTTTAGCCACACACACTGAGCTCTGTTGTCTCCTTCTATAAATAAATATGAAGTCACACAAATGCCAACATGCATGAGTAATTCTTTTTCTGGCTTATGTTCTCTGACAACCTGGGGGCGCACAAACCTTTTAAAATATCAATCAGTCCTAACCTGAAAGGCAAAACTGGTTTTAACATGTAGATCTGCTGTTCTCAGTCGATGGAAAACAGACCCTTCAGCTTGGCAGCTCGTGGTGTCCTGGGATGTCTCAGGGAGCTGTTGTGTGTTGTATTTAGTCTCAAGGTGTGCCAAAGTGTGGTTGTGGCTAACCTATGGAGCCCTGAGGTGCAATTAGATACTTGAGTGTGACTAAATATGCATTCAGGTGTGTTTCTGTGTGTGCCAGAAGGCTTAGTGGACCCTGAAATGGGTTTTGGTGAAGGTGCCCTGAGATGTTTTAGTGTGTCTGCATGCTTAAAGAGCTCATGGGAATCTTTAGTGTGATCCAGAACAAAAAGTTTAATACAAATTCCCCTTTTTTCCATGTGAGATCCAAATGGCTAGATGGTTCTTTAGTCTGGAAATAGCTCCAAACCAGAGCAACTGTAACTACATGGTTTGTCAGAAGCAATTTCCATCAAATTTGGGGTAAAATCCACATAATTACACATAAAGTGTTAATTTAAGTTGATTGTATCTGATTTGTCCAATGTTTTTCGTGCCGCTTCTGCTGGTTCATTTAGCAATACTGGCTAAACGTTGTTGTTTCTGTGTTGATTACATAAAACCGTTCACTGCAGCGTGGTTTCATGTGGTCGTTGAACTACTTTTATTGTAAAAAAAAATAAAATGTGAGCATCACGTTAAAATGTAATGGTGGACATCAGTGTGAAAGCTCACTGAAGAGACTGTGGCCTGTTACAGCGACAGGAAGAGAGAGAATCAGCAAGAGAGAAAGAGGAGTGAAAAATAAAAAAAAAACAGAGAAGGGGCAAGAGGAGAGAGTGCAAAACAGAGACAAAGTGACAGAGTGAAAGTGTGTGTGTGTGTGTGTGTAGAGAGAGAGAGAGAGGGAGAGAGAGAGGGAGAGCCAGGCCTAGTTTTTAGTTTGTGATCTAGGCCATTATCTGTGTTAGCACTGGTGGGGCTCCAACAGGCTCTGTGGATCCTGCATAACAATACCTTTTATGAGCTTGTATGTGTGTGTGTGTAGCACTGTAGGTTCACACACACATACTGTATGCAATCATGCGTGTTAACGCCATTGTGTCATACATGATCTACGCATGCGCCCCTTCGCCTCTGCCTTTTGTTTCTTGCCACTGAGTTTGTGCCCGTTTGTTAAGACCGCTCGTGTGTGTATGTGTCTGCATTTAGTCGAGTGTGTCTTCGTATGTGTGTATGTGACTCCTCACGTGCAGCTGTGCGCTCTTGCTGTATCACCCCCGTCGTCAGTCAACCCCCCTCTCCAGTAGCGCCCTGGGGGCCTTCATTATGTAAGAAAGACATTACTGCAGAACAGAGGCAGAGAGACATTACTGCGAGACGCAGGGCAGGAAGCCCTTGATGACTCTCGCGCAGCCCCACGGCTCTTGTCGGGCGCGGGCATCGCCAGTACAATGCACCCTAGGGATACCTAAGCACACGGCAAGCACACAGGCACACAGCACACACACACACACACATACAGTCAGGGGTGTGATCAGGATAACGGTGAGGACTGTGGGCTTCTGATGTTTGTCGGCAAATTCGTTGACGAAAACAGGAAATATCAATAAATCATGTTCTGCATTATAATAAATATTCTTCTCTTTTCTTCTGCATCAACTTCTCTCATCCATCCATAATGTAACTCACCTCCATCCATACACACGTTCAAACTATCTGTCCTCCATCACTGATTCTCCTCTGTCTCCATCTCTCTCTACACCTTCTTCTTACTTCCATCTCCTCCCTGTCCAGCGGTCCCCTTCCCCCTGGCCCACCGGCTTACCATGAAGGAGGTGTTTGACGCCGAAGGCCGGCCGCGGGTGGACCTGCTCAAAGCTCACCTCACCAAGGAGGGCCGGCTGGAGGAGGCCGTGGCCCTGCGCATCATCGATGAGGGCGCCGCCATCCTGCGCCAGGAGCGCACCATGTTGGATATAGAGGCGCCAGTCACGGGTATGGTATAGTGATGAAGAATGGAGGAGTGTGAATTAGTCTGTAATTTAGTGAACAATTACAGTGCTGTTAGTAGAAAAAAGAAAGGAAGAAAGCAAGAAAGTGAAAAAGCATTTTCCTCTAAATGTAAAGCTATTCCCATTGGGACCATTGGCACTAAAAAAAAGCTACGAGTGTGTTAATGTGTGTGCAGGAGTGACAAGCAAATAGATCACACACTTTTAACAGTGAGGACACAGATAGCAACAGTCAAACAGAGAGATAGAGAGACAAAGGAATGGAGATGTGGAGTAAAAGGCAGAAAGATCAGTAATTACGTATTAATCAAATTCCATTCGTCAATTCATTAATCTGCCATATGTATCTGCCACCCTTTTAATATGAACGGTTGTTCGGTCGCACTTCACTGAGAGAACCAATTGGCACTTATGCACCTCACAATAGCGGGTGCTAGCTCTGGTAATATCTGCATGTATTGCCTTGCCAGGGAAATGGTATGAAGGGGGAGGAGGGGGAGATTGAGATCGATGAAGAACAAAATGGAAAACAAGTTTCTGAGACGATGACACAGAAGACAGACAAGAAGACAGGCAGACTCAGACACTCTCAACCTATTGACACTGCTTGTTTAATGTACCTGTGTATCTATGCGTGTGTGTGTGCGCGCTTATGCAAATGTGAGCAGTGAGATAATTCTGTGTGGGTTGTTGTGCCCACGCAGTGTGGGAACATCGCTCGGCTTTCACAGGTACAGATCCCCGGGGACGAGGACAGATAGACAGGCAGATGGAGAGACAGTCGATCATAAGCAGCTTAGTGCAGAGGTTCTCAAACCTGCTCATTCCCAATGAGAAGCATATTGATCCACGTTTCCAAGTTTCTCCACTTCTGCAGATTTTGACCTAGAAACGCCCACCTGAGTTAGCTATGATTGGAAATAGCGTTTAAATTTCAGAGTTGAAACTACAGAAAAAATAGTGCATGTTCTTGGAGGGAGGGCTTTAAGAAAATGTAATGTCGAGCAGATATTCTGAAGAGTTTAGCACTTTGATGGAGTCTCTCTGGAAATGCTCAAAGACAGACCGACTAGTGACCAGGCAGGCAGGTGGATGGCTGAAATTTGAACTGACAGGCTTTTAGGGTGTCACGTGAAGGTTTCTGGGAAAATACGGAGGCAGGTCTGAGTAGGCAGACAGGTACAGCTCAATTTCACTCATGCCATTTTGCATTCCCAATTCCCAGTTCAAATTAAAACGAATGTTTGGGAGAAGACACAAAAACAGACATTAACATGGCAAGCAGATGGAGAGACAGACAGACGTAGACGGCCAGGCAGATGCAAAATGGCCATCGTAAAATGGCTGCAGAGGGGAACTATGACATCAACTAAAAGTGAAAGGAGAAGCCAGACAGATGGTGAAGGAGGCGGATTGGAGGATGTATGCTGGCAGATCATACAGACAGACAGTCTTTCAAAAAATGAAGTGTTCAGCATGTGATGCCTGGTCTAAATTAGATTCAGTACTCCTGGACATGACTTGGAACAAATCTGTTGGAAACACAGCCATTGAAATGTTTATAGAATCAGATTGTATGAACGCCTTGATCAGGAAAGCTAGACGTCAAAAGTCTGATTGCTGTAGATGTAAAGTTAGTCACAAAAGTAAGTTTTGTGCATCATGATTTAGAGCACAACAGTAAGTAATAGTATTAGGGTTACAATAAGCTGTCAAAAAAGTACTTTCTTGTACTTGATGATTGTGAAAAATCAACAGCCCCAAACACAAAGAAATTCAGTATAATATCATATAGATAAAATAAAGTCAGCAAATCCACACGAGAAGCTGGAACCAGCAAATGTCTTTTCTTTTTTGCTTGAAAATTGACAAAGGACCAATAATAAAATACGTTATTCAACTTATCAGTTAAGTGTTTCAGGTCTAAACATATCGATATAGACACTAAATGTAAAAGGGCCTTTTTTCTTCTATTCCTGCAGACTGTTGCACCACCTGTGTTTAAGTTCCAACTAAGCCTAGTTATAGCTTAAATTGTTGCAGATAAGTTACAAAAAAACTCAAAATAGTTACACATGTCCCCAGGGTTAGTGTAAGTCAGCAGTTTTTTTACCACACAGCCCACATTTTTAGATTAATTGCAGCCGTTTTGCAACACAGTAATCCAGTAGCGACCTAATTTATTAATATAATATTTCAATATCGATCTACCTCACTACTATGTGCTACAATGCCAAGTGGATCTTTGATTGTTGAATGGCCACTTGCCTTAGTTATGACTTTACATCCAAACTAGTCAGGTTTTGCTCCATGGTGCAACTGATTTTAGCGTCTGATTTAGTAACAAATGAACTAGCAGTTACTAAGCCTCTAGTGTCGACTTTATTTTTTATTTCGTTTTCCTTTATTAATGTTTTTAGTCAGACATTTACATAATTGTTACATTAATGACGTATAATATGTCTTCTTTCAGAGTCTTTTTCTTGTTTGTTTGTTTTTTTTAAACTACTGACAGAAAACAAACAAATCTGCAGTCCAGCAACAAAATTCAAATCCAGCCACACAATGAACACAAATTAGAGGACAATTAAAAAAACCTAAACACCCTATAACGTCTACATAACACAATCATCACGTATCTGGTGGGGGGTGGAATACTTCATTACATAGATCTTCTATCCATGCTTTAATGTGTAAAAGGTTTCCAGCGGCGTAGAGTTATCCTACTCCCTGTTATCATAGCATTAGGCATGATTTCTGTTGTTTTGACAGTTTAACATTGCCTGTTAGTAATCCCAAGAGACATAATGTTGGATTTTTCATCAAGTGTATTCCAAACATCTCATTCAAGAAATAATTAATTTCATCCCACATGCTGTCTGTTTTGTCACAATCGTGTAACATATGCACCGGGGTTCCCACCTTTCTATTACTAGTGCGTCTCTATCCTGACAGATAGTATTTAAATAGAGACTTCAAAATGATCGCAATAGATTCTTTCATGAGGATTTTTGTATCACTTGTTTTCAGTTTTTTTTTTTTCTTTAGGCAGATGAGTGATGTTTCTAGATCAGCAGACAGGACAGATATACCTCTGCAGATGCAAATCAGGCCATATGGAGCTACTGAAGCAAAGATGATCCCAGATTTCTTAACTGAATTGTGGAAGCTTAACATGTGGCAGCTGAAAACTGTTATCTCTATGATGTTAACATTGCTGTGTGCTGTTTCCACAGTGTGTGGAGATATTCACGGCCAGTTCTTCGACCTGATGAAGTTGTTTGAAGTGGGAGGTTCTCCTGCCAACACGCGCTACCTCTTCCTGGGGGACTATGTGGACAGGGGCTACTTCAGTATCGAGGTGAGAAAGGACACTTTATCACATACTTCAATGTGTCATATCAATATGTCTACATGTTACTGGGTATGTATTCTCTCAGAAATCTTCACTGTATTGTTTATAATAATATAATCTTACGACTAAATCAATTACTTTTATTGTGTATATTGCCCTGAAACATATTTACACTTTCAAAGAGCAATTATTTTACTATTGAAGTATACAGTTACAACACTGTGCTGTATTTAATGTATTATAAATGTACAAAAGGTACTTGAGATTAGCACAGACACACCACAATGTGTGTCTGACAATATACACATACTGTACCAAGGTGATGCAATTTAAAATTCATGGATGATTCAAGATCAGTAATCACAAAGAGAAGAGTAGGCTATAATATGCTGCTTCCTGAAATATGTATGGAAAGTGAGTTGAGATAGTATATCCAGACGGCTGTTTGGACATCTGATGCTTTAAAACAGACCTGAGTGCAATAAAGTATTTTTGTGATTACTTTGTCTTGGCACAAATGCACCACAGATCAGGACTGTGACTTGAATCCATAATGGTACGGGGACATTGAAAGTGAATGTCTTAGCTTGCTGAGCCACTTACCGAGCATGGCGTAAGGGATATATCATTGACATGGAGTGAGTTTGGAGGGGACGGAGCAATATTTAGGCCACCTTGCTAACACACTTCAAGGGCACATAGACAGGGGAGTTAATGTAGAGCAGGGATGATACTGTGTAAAGGTTAGAAAACACCCTCTGATCCATTTGTAGAGTTAAAGCGACAACATACGTGTTGGATACTTTTTATACTGTAAAATATGTCAGAAAGCAGTTTTTTTTTTCAATACATTTTCTTCCTGTTAACTCAACCAGCACAATCTTATTTAGGATAATTCTTGTCAAAATCCTGTTTGTTTGTTTTTTAATCTTCAAACCGGGGTAAGGATCAATTTGCGTTCAGTGCAATTAATTTGGGCAGTGGATTCCTAGTAACGGCTCTATCCTGATTCTTTGTGTCTCACTTTGAATTTCCAGTTTGAATTTAATGAGGGGAACTGAAAGGGAAAATGACTTCAGCTTCAGCTCTGCCACATAATTACTTACTAGCAATAATGTGCAAAGCAAACATTGTTTTTATTGCAGTGTGTGGTTTAAAGCAATAGTTCGACTTTTGGAGAAGTCGACTTATTTGCTTTCTTTTTGAGAGTCAGAGAAGAAAAATGATATCACGCTAATGTTAAATATGAACATGGTTTTTCAGCCAGGAGTGTGGACTTGGATCACACATTTAATGACTCGACTTGATTAAATCAAAAATGTCTTGCAACTCAAAGTTGATTTTAATACCAGTGACTCATAACTTCACTTGGACTTGAGGCTTTTGACTTGAAAATACTTGATATCTTTCCCCAAAATCAAAGATTAAAAGGTATGTTGTTTAAAAAGTGTGCCATTTCCTAAAACAACTAATGTCAGCAATATTCATTCCCAGCAGGTCAACGCCTAATTCCCCAAATCCACTTTATCTGAACTGAACATTTAGTCAAGTTGCAGGGGAGAACCATAAAATGTTACGTTACTGACCACTGACAAAGTACACCAAAGCTAATTTTGTTTTTGTTCATTCTGTTATTAAAATGGAATTATGACTTGTTTAGGACTCGAACTTTAAAGTTTAGGACATGGGATTTGAGTGCAAAGAGACTTACTTGTGCTGGTATGACTCTCTTTTCAGCCTGACCATATAACAAACTCCATATATTTCTAGAATAGTACCTTATACAGTAAATGTGTAATTGTTATAAATTTACCCAAACCTGAAGCTACTTTCTTTAACCAGTTTTTATCCTTTCTCTTCCCTGGTGAACCTTTAGTGTGTGTTGTACCTGTGGTCACTGAAAATCCTCTACCCAAAGACGCTCTTTCTTCTACGGGGAAACCATGAATGTAGACATCTGACAGAATATTTCACCTTCAAACAAGAATGTGAGTAGCTCTTGTGATTCCTCCAAATATGATCTGCTCCTTTTCTCTCGCTTTCTTTGTGTCAGGGTCTTTTTCACCCTTCACATTTCTGTTGCTCTTCCCTCATCCCATCCGACTCCTTCAAATAATAAGAACCCTGAAACCCCAGTAAAGGGGTTTTTACCTACATTATACCTACATCATATGACCTAATGCTACATGATGTTAGACTGAAGTTACTTGGTAATATACGAATGTTAAGGGAATAAGTTCAAGCTAACATAACTTTGTTTAGCTGCGTAACTTACATAAATCATAAAACAAACATAAAAAGCAAGGCAGAGGACAGATTTATGCTTTACTGCTTGAATGAATAGTATGTTTTGCTTTCCATTTTACAAGAGAAAAAGCTTTTATGATGAGGACTTACTAATGTGTTTGGTAATTGTAATGCTCAGATAGCGAAGTTAAAGGAGTTAAACATCCCCAAATCCAGTTGAGCAGGACAGAATGACCATAATGTTAAAGTTAGCCACATATAATAGCGGACAGGACAGGCTTTCAGACCAAGGCCCCAGGAAGAGCACCAGGGTTTGAAACCAGTTTGACATAGTGGCCAAACTGTATAACGACAGCAGTGGCGTCCCTTTTGTGATTCACAGGGGCCCCAAAGGTTACATTGTGATAGGATAGATGTAAAACCATCCAAAATTATTTGTTTCACTATCAGAATTTGATCCATTTAGTCCAGCAACATTTGAAAAGTGGCAAATTAAGTAATGTTATCCACATTCAGGTTAGCGGAGGGCTGACTAGCCGGAATTTAGCAGCTCTGCCAGCGCAAGTCTCCTGTGCGCTTCCTAATGGGCCCCACAATGCACAAGCTCTGGGTAATTTTATACCCAAAATTGAACACCTTTGGCTTAATACACCACTAAGCAGTTTTCATAGCACCACCTCTAACGCTTTATCCAGTTGTCCCTGTTTGATACAGTGGAGAAAGACTACACAGTGGATGCGCTAGTTTTGAACAGAGTTTTTTTTAAATGTAACCTGTAACTTCTCTTTGTCCTTGAAAGCAACTCTCAGTACTACTGTACATCATACCTTAGAGCAGAAAAAAACACATTCCTTACACTTTTGCTCTTGTGTTTTTGGTTTTTGTAAGGCCAAAATAATTACACCACCCTCCAAACACTGTCACTCTTACTACTGCTCCATGCACAGCGCGTCAACGTGTGGAGAAATTCAAAGCTCGCCAGGTCCGCCATGCCAGTTACAGTTAGGATCGGACAATATGCTGCTCGAGGAAGGAGGTTTAGCAAACAGTCACTTGTTACAGATTATTTTTTTCTTTTTCAACTGATGATTTCAGCTATAAAGTTATGTATTTTCTGCCAGATGTCTTCCTCCCCCTCAAAGTTCCTCTCCCCTCTATCCCTCCAGGTTACATCCTCCCTCCTTCACCGTGCTTCACTCCATCCCTCCTCTGCTCCTTCTCCTTATTTCCTTTTTCTTTCCCTCTATCCTCCATCTTTTCTTCCCTCCCCCAGTCTCTCTCTGTCTCTCTGACTCTCCTCGCGTCCTGTCCGAGAGTGGGTGATTAGCACCAAATTAATTTGGCCCTTAATGATTGGCTTAGGGACCTACTCTTCAGTGTCTGATTGGCCAAGGGACAGGGAAGCTAATTTCCCCTGATGCTCGTGGCGAATAGTGGTCGCCCTCAATTACCATCTGCTGTATGTGTGCGTATGTATATGTGTGTGTGTGTGTGTGTGTGTGTACCACAAGTGTGTGCAAGTGTATGTACTATGACTGTATGCGTGTGCAAGAGTGCCTTCATAAATGTTTAAGAGTCTGTGTGTGGAAGGAGCTGAAAACTGGTGGACTAGCAATAATGAGCTCTTGCTCTACACAAGGCAGATGGAGAGGTTGACAAACACACTCCTGTCACACACACATGCGAACACACACACACACACACACACAAATGTTGGCTACTGTACACTAGTACTCCGCAATACTGGCTTTGATTTGTGAACGTGACGTTCTCATGTCCTCACGCTCTCCCTTCTCCTTCCCATCTCTCTTTCTTCGTCATCTCCTCTCCTTCCTCTCTTCCTCTTACCGCTCTTAACCTCTCCTCCTTCTCCTGTCTCCTCCCATCAATCTCTCTCCTTCTTTCTTTATGAAATTATCATTCTCCTTTTCTCTCCTCCCTGCTCGCTCTCACTCCAAAAATCCACCCTTCTCTCTTCTTTCTTCCTCTTCTATCTCTCTCCTCCGATCTCCTTTCAGCTATTTTAATCCTGTGATATTGTTTTGTGTCAGATGTGTTGTTACGCCCATGTGTGAAATGTACTTTAAAGATGCTGCGTGTTGGATGTCTTTATTGATATCGCTGCCAAATCAAAGGAGTTTTTCATGAAGCAAAAATTTAGCCTCACAGTGAAGGCTCCACGCTGCTTCATGCTATTATTTGGGTCAGATTCTGTTCACTGGACTTGTGCATATGCTTTGCACTGAAATTTGAAGCCATTTTTCACCAATGTGTGTATTTAATGTACATTTTTTCTTCTTCTGGGAAGTGGCATTTCAAAATCATCACAGATGAGAGAAACAGGTCATATGGGAGCGCTGGAGAAGAGATGGCCACATAAATTAATAACATGTTATGTGAAAATTCTACATGTTACTGCCTTTACACCACAAGTGAACTAAATTATGTTTTAAAAGGAGCCATGCAAGTCTGTTTGAAGCCTTTAGATAACAGAGTTCTTAAGATCTGTCCATGTAAAAGCTCCGCGTTTGTTTGTTCTCTGCGTTCCTTGTTGCAGTGTGTTTGTGTGCGATATGTAACACTCCAAGTGACAGGGACTGACTGTACGTTTTGTGGGGATGGTGGTTGTTCAAAGCATGTCAAAACACACTCAGGCGCTTCTTTGTCTCAAGTCTTGAAATATCTCTCCATCCCTCCAACCACCTCCAGGTAAGATCAAGTACTCGGAGCAGGTGTATGACTCCTGCATGGAAGCGTTTGATTGCCTGCCCCTGGCAGCTCTGATGAACCAGCAGTTCCTATGTGTGCATGGGGGGCTTTCACCAGAGATCCACACGCTGGACGACATCAAGAAGGTATGACACACACACACAGACACACAGACACACACATGTGATTTTCTATTAACAATACTGCTCTGCAAAGGCAAAACACATTAACTACATGTCTGACTTAAGACCTGATTCTGACTCTGACATGTGTTGGAAATATCATGTGATTGAAATGTATTGTTTCAGATGAAACAGCTGTGTAATTTTGTGTAAACAGACCTAAAAACTTCACTAAATTGCAGTAACTTTAAGCCCCTGTCAAACTTACGCTTATTTGTTAAATGTGGCCCATATCAGATTCCAGTGCAAAGGCCTGAAGTGACCCGCAGTCAGTCAAGTTGCATGATGATTGATATGACTGATCTCACCGAGGTTGCATTGCAAAAAAACATTTATCTGATTTGGACCACATATTGAAAAGATCAGATTCCTTGTTATCTGTGTTGTTCACACAAATAATCAGTGGATAAAAAAAATAAATTTTAAGGAGCTTACATCTTTGGTAATTCATTTTGTTATTACACATAACTAAATGGGGCAGGAGCTAAATTAAACCGCAACGGAGAGAAGAAACAGCTCCACCTGCTAAAGGTAACTTTGTTGTAACTGTAGCTGCCACGTCAGCTTTTGACTAGTGGGATCCATCCAATATCAGATTTAGTTTATTATATTAATAGAAATATTAATAGTAGAAGAAAAGACATCTAGCAAGTTATTTATATGGTCTGTGGACTGTAAATAATCAAAGTCTATTTTATTCTCCTAAACAAACTGGTTAAAATGGAAAAGAAAGTTAAAAGAACACATTTCTGTTGGTAGACACATTTCCTCCTTCCAGCCGTTATTATTTAGGTTTTATTGCAAGCAGCCAAAAAAAGGTAGAAAAAAAGCATTATAACGTATTTAACTGTTACACAGTGTTTCTGCTAGCCTGAAATCTTTAAACCCAAATTCACTGCCTCTGTATTTACTGCTCTTTACACAATAGTAACATTTATCACACTTATATTTGCCTGGAAAAATAATAATAATAATAACGTTAAGGTAACATGTTATTGACTTGCGTGCAGCACTCAACACACCTGCAAGCACAGACACAAAACACACACCGACTCTTATTTGTGCCTCAATAACCACATGCTCTGAATCCATCTGAAACCAGTGAACACAGTATATACCAGTTAAATAGACCCCCCCCCACACACACACACACATGCTGTATGTATACAGTTCACAGTAATGCAGAGTACAAAGGCGCACACATGAGGACACATACTTCCTCATCTAATGGCAGTGTTTCCATGGTGAATCTGCTGGTGTGACATCTTCTCCCTCCTGTGTGGTGAGGGTTGCCATGGAGATGCTCTGCTCTGACAGTATGTGTTTGTGTGTGTGTTTGCTTTTCTTTCTCTTCTGATTTATCATATATGTGCTGGTTACATTTGTGTCTGTATGGTTTGTATGTGATGTTTTTGTGCGAGGGTTTTCTTTGTGTATTTCTACGTGTGGCCGAGCATTTGTGTTTCTGTAAGCTTATATTTTTGTGTGTTTTTGTGTGTGTGTGTGTTTGTGTGTTCGTTCGTATGTCCTAGTTGGACCGGTTCAAGGAGCCCCCGGCGTTTGGGCCCATGTGCGACCTGCTGTGGGCCGACCCCCTGGAAGACTTTGGCAACGAGAAGACCCAGGAATACTTTGGTCACAACACAGTGAGAGGCTGCTCCTATTTCTACAGGTACCGGACAAAATTACTCCCTACAAGCTCCATGCTGACCTCAACAAAAAGAAATATTACATAAGACTCCTGATATTTATTTCTAAAAAGGAAATAAACTTGGATGTGAGTGAATATAGTCTGGTAGCCTTGACGCTGTAGATCCCCTTGCTTAAGAAGCTTATGAACTAATATCCAAACAAGCCAGAATGAATGCAATATTCAGAGATAAACAATACACACTAGGAACAATATTCTTGGAAATTAGCGGCTGAAAAAAAAATGCAGTCCGAAATAAGACCGATCCTCAGACGTGTTACTGTCTGGACTCATTTGATGCGTTTTAATGATTTAGGCGCCTTGTGATTACCTGGCGTCAGCGAGATGTGACTTTCATCTACAAATCAGGAATTTAATAAGTTTTAGGTGGACTCCAGGCTATTGGTTTGGGATGTCGGTGATGAGACGAGAGAAGGAGAGATGGTTTCCTGCACACCACATCCAAGATCCAATAACAATCACTGGGATTTGTACAAGAGGCAGAAAAATTCTTGGCCAGTTTCACACACACAATCACACACACAGATTTAGTGTACTAGCAAACACATAAACACGGCACATTCACAAACACATACACACAGTTCTGTTTCAGCATGAAACGATATCCCACAATCCCCAGGGAGACTGCACGGTTCTGTTGCTATGACGACTGGCTACTCCTGCCAGATATGGAGTGATATTAAGATACAGTGAGAGAAAAAGGGAGAGCAACATAGGAGGAGGGTAGTGGTGGTGGAGGTGGAGGTGGTGGTGGGGTAGAAGAAGATGAGAGATGGAAATAGAAGAATAAAAACGGGGGGAATGTAAAGACGAGGAGCCGACAGATGGAGCGCTCGTGCGGTCGTAGCTGCGTTCCTCACGTGTAGAAGTCGGTGTTAAAGCATGTTGTCTGTGGAGAACACAGGGGTTTTCTATGTTTAGCAGACACAGCATCAGTTGACCAACTAGTGTATACTCCCACAGCACTGAGGAGCAGCCATATAAGCCCCGATCAGGCCTGCCTCACTCTCACTGATGCCCCCTGCTGGTCTGAGTCAGACATGACATTAGAATACAAGAGGCCCACTCATCTAGACTTCCCACTAAATACTTACATCTGTTTTCTTTTAGTTTAACAACAGTCTTGATATAACAACATGTGATTTGTTTGCTATGTAATGTAATTTTACTTTTACATTTTGGATATTTCTTCCCATGTCTGTTTTTTCCCCCATTGCCTCACTTCAGATGCACTTACATGCTCTCACTCTCTGTGTGTCTTTGTCTGTCCCCAGTTACCCAGCAGTGTGCGAGTTCCTACAGACCAACAACCTGCTGTCAATCATCAGAGCGCATGAAGCACAGGATGCTGGGTAAGCTGACTGACTGTCGCGGCTCAGTCCTTCTCTCGGCTTAAAAGGGAGCCCCATTTAATTTAATGGCTTACCTTAACATTTCATGTTCCGAGCTGTTATTTTTCTTTGTCAGGGAATTGGCACATTACAGGAAAAGAAGTTCCACGATTTTCCTTCTGCAACCCTTAAACTGTGTTATTAGCATTGTTACAGTTTGTCTGATGGAGAGCACTAACAGTCTAAACACAATTCAACTAATGGTGGAAGGCAAAGAGCAATGTAAGGTTTGCACTACTAGTCTAAATATAATAGCGGGAGCGAAACACAATTTTCTGACCCACAAATCCATTCCTGGCATCTGTTATCTTAGTGTAAATCCTCTAAATATAATGCAGCAATTAAGGCAGCACTACTCTGAGTTGTGCTGTTTGGTGAACCCATTAACAGTATTTTGTCTGTCATGCAGCTGGGCAGTCTGGGTAATCATCTGTGGGTTTTTGGTGCACTTGCACAAAAGCTGGTAGAAAATAAATTATAATTTTAGTAGATTATACTTCTCCACCAGTAAATAGTGCTTGATGTATAGATGAAATAATGATTTTAGTGAAGTTTAACTGCAGGTGACCTTTTGGTACACAACTCTGCATTTACTGTGTTATTTATCGTATTATGTCCTGTCAATATAAACAGCTGAATATGTTGATTCATTATATACTCACTGCAGAAACAGTAGTGTATTGTGCATACTGGGTCACATAAAACATTTACATGAAATGTAAATATCTGTGCCATTGCGGTAGAGCAGTGTAACAGGCAGCCAATCAGGAGCCGTGTTTGATACAGAGCCATTAGCTTGCCTTGATTTGATTGGCTCATGGTCAGACACCAGGTACAACAGCCAGCTTTGGTCTGCATATAGGCACAGACCAAAACCAGAGGTGGGAAATAATGAAGTACAAATACTACCATTACTGGAGTATTTATATAACACTTTTACTACATTTTTACACAAATATCCGTATTTTCTACTCCGTATAGTTTCAGAACAGGCTTGTTACTTTAATTTCAATGCATTTGAGGGGAATCATTGAATAATACTATTTTTTTGCATCATTGCACGCCTTCCCAACATCACCAGTGCAAATCGCACGAGACAGACACAGCAAGCATCAACCCTATTTAAAGTTTCAGTCAAGTTTTGCACAGAAACAGAAGTTATAAATGTCCTTCAGAGAAAAAAGAGAGTATGTTTAACTTTTTATACCTTCCAGTAGTTGAATCTGTGCCTCTACTTTAGTGAAGAATGTTTGTACTTTTGATACCTCTAACCAAACCAAATCAATTTTTTTATATTTTGTTTGTACACGGGCACCTAGATCCTTTACAAAGCTACACCCGGCACTGGAACACTGGGAACACCATAGTATAAGATGATATGAAAATCAGTCTAACAGGAAAACAAATTCTGCTGGACACCTAGATTGTATTTGTTTATAATAAATAAGCGAAATGATTGATTACTGAAGAGTTAGGTAATTACTTTATCCTCGAGGGACCCGGCTAGTAGAGGCTGCTATTGTGCTCTTGTTTGTGGGTACAAATGAAATATGTGTGCTTGTGTTCATTAAAATGTCTAATCTCTGTATGTTCTTTGCATGGATGAAACTAATTGCACCCAGACTTGTTTTTATAGTCACAAGATCTGGGCCTTAAAATCTAAATGTTAAGTTTGTGCTGACAGCTCCACTCAAACTACCCTGCCCAGTGGCACTTTTACCTTACCCTCTCATTTTACCCACACAGATTCCTTATTCGTTTGTTTTTAAATGCGTGGCTGTCTCGCTCTCAACCAGTCTCTGTCTGGTTTAAAGACCTCTGAAGCAAATCCTCGGTTTGACATGTTTTTTATTTTTTATGTAGCTATAACGTGGGCGGCTTGTTTGTCTCTCTTTCCTCAGGTATCGTATGTACAGGAAGAGTCAGACTACAGGTTTCCCCTCCCTCATCACCATCTTCTCTGCTCCAAACTACCTGGATGTCTACAACAACAAAGGTCTGACACACACATGCACAAACACATACACACACACACACACACACACACACACACAGACATGAAAAGCTGAAGTGTGAGCCCTGCGGTGCAATTATTTTAGACTGAATAAATGTTAGTCTTCATCCAAGACTGAAAAGGAACAAACACTAACATCTGTGGAGGAACTATACAGATGTCCACACTATGCAGTGAACATTTTTTAACTAATATTTGTGTGTGTGTGTGTGTGTGTGTGTGTGTGTATCCAGCGGCGGTGCTGAAGTACGAGAACAATGTGATGAACATCCGTCAGTTCAACTGCTCTCCTCACCCCTACTGGCTGCCCAACTTCATGGACGTCTTCACCTGGTCGCTGCCTTTCGTGGGAGAAAAGGGTGAGCTATTTGGGGGTTTGGTGGATGACGTTCTGCTCCAACTCAGACGGATCACCGGGCTCTGAAGGGGCTCCAGAATGATGAATCCATGTTTTGGGGCTGATATGATTTTGTGAAAATTTGTTGATTGATCGGACTGGTGTAAGTGTGAAGCAACAAAAGAGACAAAAGACAAAAAGTAAGCTCTCAATATGTTGCGTTATAGTTTCATTTGGGGGTTTGAATCTAATATAATAGCTAATAAATAGATGATAGCTGCTATAAATAGCAGCTATCATGGATCAGTTCACATATATATATAAATTAAGACAAGTAAGTCATCTGTGTAATACCACTTAAAATTGTATTACTGATACATTGTCTCACAAAACAATATCACTAGCTCAGAAAGGCTGACACAACCACATTTGTGGAACTGCATGTATATCGAACAACAAATATATATGTGACTATATATTAATCCACTGCACAGTATTTTAAGGTCTACACAGCAACCATCTTCACTTCCTGTAAAAGCAGGAAGTTATTTCATTTCATTATTATCATTCAATTTTGTTGTCAGCGTTTGCATTTGGTAAAGCAGCTAAACTATGGTCACCAATCAGTAAACACATTTAAAGTAAAAACAGTATGAGGGATAATCTCTCTATAAATGTCTTAGTTTTAAAGGGAGATCCTTTTTATGTACTTTATATTGTTCTAGTACCACTTTATAATACTCTCTAAAAATAGCAATGATATCAGCTTAAAAAGGTGTATAACCCCTATTTACCGGATTAAGGACTTGTGGGTAACCAGAGTTTAGTCAGATTTTAGAGAGTTAGGGGATGACGCACGCGAACTGGGGACACTGCGGCTCACGGTTAACATTTAAACCCCTAGGACACAAGGTTCCCCCTATATCCCTGGTTAAGTGAGTGAGTGTGTGTCTGTCTGTTTGTCCTGCAGTTACTGAAATGCTGGTCAACGTCCTGAGTATCTGCTCTGATGACGAACTCATGAACGACGGAGAGGAGATCTACGATGGTACGAGTAACACTCAACGCTGACAGAAAAGCAGTGTGATTCAAACATGTGTCACATGCATGTGAATAAATAAATAACTGACATGTATTTTAGTATGTTGATACCACAAGAAATCACTTTTAATGAGTTTTTGTTTGACTCTTTTACAGCCAGTGCAGCAGCAGCCAGGAAAGAGGTGATCAAAAACAAGATTCGAGCCATTGGGAAGATGGCTAAAATGTTCTCTGTTCTACGGTGGGTTGTACTGTGTGTCTATAAATTTCCTTTAACTTACGCAGAAATTAGTCACCAGATTGTCTCTTTCAGCATTCAGTGGTTTAATCCACAAGCATGTTTCTGTTTGTTTGCAGGTGCACATTGAGGGGAAGTGTGTAATTCTCTGTAATTCTCTCTTTAACATCTGCTTTCTCTTTTTATCCACACACACCTGTCTCACACACACACACACACACACACACACTGTCTCTGTCTGTCTCTCAGGGAGGAGAGTGAGAACGTGTTGACCCTGAAGGGGCTGACCCCTACAGGCATGCTGCCCAGCGGAGTGTTGTCTGGGGGCAAACAGACCCTGCAGAGCGGTGAGTGTTTCACACACTCGCACAAACACACTCTCAAACTGGACCCTGGACACACCTTCAAAAACAAAAATAAATCACACACGAGTACACACAGACACAGTTTAAATATCTGCTTTGGACCATCCTCTGGTTCCTTCCTACCTCTTTCCTCTTCTTCTTCCTCTGTATTGCTATTGTTCTCCTCTCATCCTTCTGCCTCACTGACTCACTCTCTCCACCTCACCTCACCGGCGCTGAGGATACTAACAGCCTGCTGGTTGTGTGCGTGAGAGAGAGAGAGAGGGAATGACAGAAAGTAAGGGGCAGTAATGCAAAAAGACAGCGAAAGGAGAGGAAGTGTGTGTGTGAGGTGTGTGTGAGCTAACACCAGCTACTGCTAACACCAGGTGCCCTCTGAACCTCAGTGCTGCTCTGAGGGCCTCACACAACTAAAGCCTGAAACATGCCTCTGGGTCCGCAAGCATCATGGATACACACTCATATCGTATGTGTAATTTATGTTGTGTACCAACGTAAATTACACACATAACCTTAATGTGTACTACAGGGGACTATGTTGCATTTACCAAACCAAAATTGGAGTTTTTTTAATTTATATATTATTTTTGTGGGGGCATTTTTGCATTTAACTCACAGTATTTAGTCAAGAGGCAGACAGGAAATGTAGGCAGGGGAAGAAGGGGTTGCAACAAAAGCCCCCCGGCTGGACTCGAAGTGGGCGTAGTTGAGGTTTGCACGTTTTAGCCCAGTGGCCATCATGGCGCCCCCTACTTAGGAAGGTAATACAAATATTAATATCGATATACTTCAACTGTAAGTTACTCTTTGATCTGCTTTCTGTGTGCACTGTTTTGCAGTTTAATTATTAAAAAAAAAATGTCTCGTTTGATGTCGGACTGACGCAAGGACTGGCTAAACTTTTTCGTACAGGTGTTTGTTTGACAACATTTAGCTGAGATTTGCAAGGTGATCTACGGTTTACACGTGAACTGCACAGAAGCATGTTTCAGCCTTCACTCCTTTCTTCTTCTCCTCCTCCTTTCTTTGTACTTCATCTTCTCTCTCGGACTCTGTCATCTTCTCTCTCTTCCTGTCCTCCTTTCCTTATTTTCTCTCTGCCCATCCTTCAGCTACCATTGAGGCCATAGAAGCCATCGAGACAGTTAAGGACGCTGAAGGTAAAATTCCACTCATTTCACTGTGTGTGTGTGTGTGAGTGTGTGTATGTGTGTGCAGCATGGCTGCGCTCTCAGCCACCCATGCTCATGGTCATAGATTTTCCTTACCCACGATGCACTGAGCTCTTCTAACCACATCAGCGCTCACAACAAAGCCTAAAACCGCTGCACGCTGAAATCACCACATTAAAACATACACACACTTTTCTCTTTCCTTCTCTTGGGAAACAGGAAACAACACTACACCCTCCCTCATACACACACAAACTTTATTTATATGCCACAAATCAAACACAATTTGTCCTTACACACACACACACACACACACACACAGAAGAAGAAGAGCGGGGCTGTGGGTGGGAGTGGGTGTTGTGAAGGTTAGCAGGGTCATTCAGACCTAGTCTGCAGTGTGTTAGTCTTTTCTTTATATTTCAGTAGAGTAGGTGCTGTAGTTCTGTTGAAAATAAACATGCAATCAATCTGTTTCTCTACAAGCTACGGCAGAACAGGAGTCACCTGTGATAATGAAAATAAATCAATGAAAAGTGCTAAGGAAGTATTTGTATTTATTTTACAAACCAATCCCAAAAGTACAGCTTTTCACTGAGCTTTTGACCATATACCATGGCCTTCTTCAGCAAATGGTCACATGACCTAAGTACAAAACTTCAGTCACAGTCAAACAGGCGATGAGCCCTAGAATCTGTACCTGTATATGTGAAGACTGGTTGGTTTTGTTGAAATCTCTGTGAAAAGCTAAAGGAAGTTAACCTTGTGTTTAGAATACGTGTTCCCAAGGTTAACACATTTCCAAACTTAAAAGACTGTGCAAAGAAAAGGAGAAAAAATTGGCATAATACACTTTTGATGCACATTTTATATTTGGAGGAGCAATTTAAACATGTCTGAATGGCTGAAGCCAGAACAGGTCTGCCAGGTTCTCCTGTGCTATTGAACAGATTGTGGTCATGGTACTTGTGTATTATATTATGTGTAAACAGGCGTAGTTCTTACTGTGCACGCTTCAGTTGACTGTAGTCTTTTGTGTTTGTACCTTTAGTGCTGTCTTTAGCTCATATGAACTACAGTCCATAATTTGTTTAAGCAAATGAATTATGGGTATCTCTTGTGTTCTGTTTTTTCTTCTTCTTTGTTTTGTAATATGGTTTGTAGCTGGGTGTAAGATGTCCGCTGTGTAACACAGTGGCATATTTGTGAGTAGCTGCATGTGTCCAAAGGTAATATGTCGGTAGCCGTTGTTCAAAAGTGGCAGAGACCTCTCCAGACAGACCTCCTCATCACAGTTCAGCTGATCTCAAAGCTTCACGTTGTGAGGGTTTAACCTTAATTCAGTAAAATTCATTTAGCTGACAAATGTTATTACAAGTGGTAGCCCTAATTGTTATCTGTATCTGCTTTTATCTCTAGTCTAATTTAGAGGGGCACTCCAGCATTTTATTATAGCCTCTCCATAAATTCACGCAGATTAAAAACATGTTAAATGTTCGAGCATGTTACTTCATAAAACCACAACTCAATCAAATAAAACAAGCATGGTACCCTGTGTTCATTTGTGAGCTTCAGAGGTACATTATATTAACTTTGGATGGTGCCAGGCTACCTGTGTCCCCCCTGTTTCCAGTCTTTTTGCTAAGCTAAGCTAAAAACCTGCTGGCACTTCCTTCAAATTTACCGTGCAGACATGAGAGAGGTATCAGTCTTCTTGTCTAACCCAACATTTGTAGCGTGCAAGCGCAAGTCAAATAAACCTCACCTGCATGTGTAGAATGGGTGGAGTGCCCCTTTAAGAAATCATTTATAGTGTACCAGCATTCTAGTAAGAGGAATGTGACAAAGTTTATGATGCCAAATAATAACCTTAGACATTAACTTAAAAACAAGCAACCTGAGAGAAATGGAAAACCTGACACCTGACTTTTGTCCTTGGTAGGTTTCAACATTTTATGGGGAAGTGGTAACCGCCAATAGAAATTGTTTCAAACAAAAGGCTGACTGTCAAAAACTGCTCACAGATGCGAAACACATTTTTAGGACTTATGAACGACCGCTTCTGTGCAGCTGTGCTTTGTTCCATACTCTGTGTCTCATAATGGCTTATCTACCAGGTGTCTCAGACTACTGATCTAGGATCAATGGCCAGGTCGCACTGACTGTTACACTCACTGTGAGCCACGAGGTCAAACTAATCCTAGTTCAGCATTCAGACAACAGATGATCAATGGCTGATGTGTGTGGATATTGGTGTAAGAACCTTTTATATATGCACATATGACAGAACCATGTCTATCCAAACCCACAAACGACCTTCTGCTAAAGGGAGCACAATCAGGGTCAAATCTATTGAAACTTTTTGTGCTCAAATGAAAGCATTTAAAAGGTGAATTAAGTCAAACTGAATGCTTTGGTAATGTGTGTTCACATATCTTAAATGTAGCTTGGAATTTCAATCCATGTCAGTGCTCTGAATATGTCCATCTGAAGCTCCCAAGGTTTTGGATACACAAGATTCTGCAAAAATGTCTTGTTAAATATTAACCCTGTGTGCATATATGTATGTTTGTGTGTGTCTGCGTGCGTGTGGGTGCGTGCCTGTCCCCTCAGCCATCCGAGGCTTCTCCCCGCAGCATCGGATCAGCAGTTTCGAGGAGGCCAAAGGTCTGGACCGGATCAACGAGAGGATGCCTCCGCGACGTGACGCCGTCAACAGTGTGGGGCTGTCGATGGGCCGCATGAACATGGGAGAGCCCAATGGGACCGACAGCAACAGCAATATACAGTGATGGACATACACTCCCACATGCCCAGACACATACCTGCAGTTACAACTCTGATATGGTACCATATTTATAGAATCGTGTACATAGGCATATATATACACAAGAAAAATGCATCACATACACAGACACAGTATTTCATACACTGAATAGGCTACATCACACACACACACACATGCAAATCACACACACACACACATGATTACCTACCCCTCTCCCGTTGCCCTCTGCTGTATGTAAAGGCATGAGCGTACCTGGACTTAACCACCAAAGGCTGAGTCTCTTCACTGAACTGATCGGTCCTATTTAGAGAACTACAACTCCCATGTACCTGCACAACAACAGGAAAGAAACTATAAAAACACTCCCCATGCAAAACAGGAGGAGCTGCTGTTCACCGTGTATGTTGGGGATCACCAGTGGGTTGACAGTGTCAGCATGACGTGGCTGTGTCGATGGTGTGTGTTGTGTTGGCGGGGTCAAGTTTTTGCAGGGGTGGGGGGGTTGGCGATCAGGGGGTGGGGCATAAAAGTTAGGTATGCTTCTTTTTCCTGTTTGCATCCCAAAACAGGAAGTGGAACCAAACTTGGTTGGTTTTATAAGGTTGTGGATATGCCTGCCTGCGTGCGTGCACATGCTTCAACATGTAAATGTCCGTGCGGTTATATTTGAAAATGTGTTTTCGTTTGCAAACCTGAGCAGATCTCGCCAACAGCCCGGCAACAGTGAGAACATTTCCGATGTGTGGTGTGGTGGTTTATCTGTTGCCGAGAGATGTGTGGAGTTAATCTCAGCTGCAGTCTAATCTGAGCCCTCGCTGTCCTTTTCTTCTTGGGAGGAGATTCCCGTTTGCTTTTGTAGCACTACACTGCACCCGTCCTCTACTTTGAAGTGGAGGATTTCCCCCCCCCCCCCCCAAAACTCTGGTCCCAGGCCAGTTAGCTCTCGGGAAAGGCTTGAAACTGGGCCCGGATCAGATTTGAAGCAAGTGTTTCTCCCTACCTGTTGCGTGTAAATAGGTTACATAGAGAGGTTTTATTGCACACCTGATGCATACGGTCACAAGATGCAAGATGCAGTATAGCGGAAGTAGGATGCTTTATGTAAGCGAGGGAGCCGGGGGGGGGAGTTGAAATGTGAAGTCATACTCTATTCATTCTCTTTCTACATCCTCCTTTCCTTCCGTGTTGCTGTCTGCTACCAAACAGCAGTGATGGCCGAGAATCGCTGGCCTAAAAAGCAAGAAATGATATTTCACGGAGGAAACAGACTCTTCCAGTTAAGGCAGCAGCCAAGACAACAAGAAGAAGTCAGAAGAAAAGGTCTTTGTAAAGCATTTATATTAACGCATCAGTGCATGCAGAGTTAAGTTCTTTGATAATAATGTGAAGATTATATTTGTGCTCTGTGTTTCACTATGGTAGGATTTTTTTTCTTTTTGTTTTTCTGGCTAATATAAATGAACTGAGGAATAATGAATAATTTATTTTGTACATAATGTTAATTTTATTTATTTTTTGTATTCATTTTGTGTTATATTTTGTTGTTTTTTTCATGTTTTCTTTTCTTTTTTTTTCTTTTTTTTTTTCACAACCTGTGTTTCTGGTTTCTTTCGACGCTGTACAGAATGACAGTACGCTTCTATTCAAAGTGTCAAGTCCACGTTCTCTCCTCTCTTCTTTGTTGATGTACAGGAGTTGTTTTTAATGATAAATATGAATAACGATTAACAAATATTAAACTAGCATTGATGAATGACCATACTATATACAGAGGCACAGGCATTCAGGCAGCCAAAAGCATGATTGCATGGTTAAAATTTGCGCTGTTCAAAGCAAAAAGCAGCCAGACACATTTTAACAGAAGAGCCGGTGTGTTGCCGTCACAATTTAAAGGAAAAAAGTGTACTCTCTCTGATCATAATTATTGATGATTCCTCTTGTTATTTGATGATATTTATGATTCTATGATTATTATGATTCTATTTATTATGGACATTATTCTTAATATTTAAGCTCTCTCTCTCTGCTGGTTGCTCTTCATGTTGCGTTGCTCCTTGGTTGATCTTGTTGTGCTTCTTTGGGAGAGGTGAACCCCCCTGGGAGACCCTGTGCCATAGAAATTGTGCCACGGTTCTTACTTTCTTTCTCTCTTCTCTCTGTGCCTCAGTCTCTCTCTCTCTCTCTCTCTCTCTCTCTCCTCTCTTCTCTGTTTTGACTCCCCAGTCACTAACACTGTAAGCATGCCCCATGGGACGATCCACTTTTTTACTCTTGAATAAAATATGCATGAACCTTTGGTATGGATACCGAGCATTTATTCCCTCACTACTAAGCGTGGAAAGACACACCATAATACTAAAGAATCACCCCTGATGACACTGAGGCAAACTGAGACAGGTCCTGTCAAACTGACTGGACCTGTTATGCCAAATCACAGAGGAAGAATGTGCTTTGTTCAAACTGGAAGTAGGAGATATTAGACATAAGAAGACATAATGTATACAAATAGATTACCAGTCCAGTGTGTAACATTTAGGATTATCTATTTGCTGGATGTTTTCATTAGTGTATAATCAACTGAAAATAAAAATGTGTTTTTGTTGGCTATCAGGATAAAAGCAAAATTACTGTTTGTTACTTAGGATGAGACATTTTTATTAACAGACAGACTCTGTGGAGGCCACCATGTTGAACCACCACACAACAGGTGGGGTCCGGGCTCCCTGGTCCCCGCTTTTAAAATGAACTAATTTCTAGTCACACCTCTTATCACAGTGTGCATTTTTTTTTCCTGTTCCGGCTGTTTCAATCAATGTGGGACTTTGCACTATGCACGATGAGTCACCCTACATTGGTACACATGCACCTAGTCAATGATTAAGGGCTTTATAGAAATATGTCATTATATATGTGAACATTTCCCAATCTAACGTAACTGCAAATCTTTTTATGGGTTGGTTTAAACACCAGTATGTGTACAATAACATATTTTTGCAATACATTGTGTTCTTGAAAAGATATATTGACATATTTCTGATTTAGAATGGATCTAAATGTGATCACCAGGCTTTTTCACACTACCCCAACAATTACATTGATTCAGTTGAATGCAATAGGTAATGTGTCAGCCACTGATTAGCCTTTTGGATACATGATTAATCCATAAAGGAAGAAATGTTTACATCATGCTCTTCACCAAACGCACAGACAGAAATACTCTTTTACAATACTCAAGCTATCTTTCTTAAAATAGAGATTTTCTTGTGAACATTTGCGGTTTCAGTTTCTGAGAGGGTATCCACGTGATGCAGTGGACCAGGCATGTGCAAGTGTTTCTAAGTAAATCTTCTCTAGTGTAATTAACACAATAATTCTCTAGTGTAATTAGAGACATAACATGTGTTTATCATGAACAAAAAACCTCCTCCCACCAGGGACGTTTGCTACTTGGTCTAAAAAGGTGAAAAAGGTCAACACTTTAACCATCTTTGTGACCAAAAATTTAAATGATAAAATGCAAGCAGCACTAGTAATGTTGTCCACCTTCACCTTTATGTACCAAATGTGTCCTAATTGTGGTGGTGGAAATGTGGCTGAAACAAAACAAACAAAACATTTGAACTTTTCACTGTCTGTACAGTCCTGTAATGTAAGAGAGTCAAACATATTGCTACATCCAGAGGCTATGTCATCATAATAATAAAATTCTTTACCGGAAAGAAGAGTCACTTTCTTTTTTGTTAAGAAGACACTTTCATAAAACAAACATATAGAGTAACATTTGTGATAAGAAAAAAACAAAAAAACAAAAAAAAAAATCACAAAATTTTATTCAGTCTTCAGTTATGTTTTTACCTTAAATTATTGGGAAGAATCAAAAAATATTTAATTTTAATGTGTTAGATTAAAAAAAGCTTTAAACAAAAGGTGTGTAATACAGTATAATGTAAATTCTTCACCCCCAGTGTTCAGAAAGATAGAAGAAGATGTCACACAGTTAACTACCTATCACACACTAAGGCCTTAACAATCAGTAGATCTCAAACCAACTAGTGGCTATTCTTTCGAAGAATAATGTTTCATCCCTACTGTAGAGTTTCTATGATTATAACCACTGATCATCCAATAACACAGTTGGACTCAACTGACAGTCAGCAATCATTATAAAACATGTATAGCTTAATGGTGGGAACTCTTCCTCCCTGACCCCTCCCTCTCCCATTGCTCTCTCTGCTTCTTGGCCTCTCCTCGCCTCAGTTTTCCGGTAAATCTGGCAGGCAGGGAGTCTATTTAACCATAATCGAAACTGAAAGTGTTGGATGTGACTGAAGGGGTGGAGAGAGGAAGAGGAGACGAGAGGCAGAAAGGAGAGCAGAAGAGTGAGGAAATCGTTTTCATTTGGATCACAGCAAACAAAAAGGTGAGTCCTCACATACATTTCTTTCTCTAGTCTGGTTCACAATGTGCAGTGCACACTAGCACACTGGTTAATATTTGCCATACTTTCAGATTATTGTTCTTCAAATGTTTATTTTTGTTTTGCTTTGCAACTACTTCTCCATATTTTCACAGAAACCATGTATCAAAATGTTCAGCTATTTAAGGACACATGGAGTATGTCTTTTTCTTCTTACTGACTTTTATACTTTTTTTTTTTTTTTAAGTATTAAGCTTTTTTTTAAACAATTGTTCTCTGTGTAAGTATCCTATTCACACTTAGTCTGTCCTCTGCTAGATTAGTTCTCCCGTTCACACTGGAATGAGCATCACCTACAGAGATCAGCTTGTGTTGTCTTGGAAGCTTATGTCTCCATATTAAAGTGTCTTTATCTATATCAAATATAGTTAATACCAACAAGTGTAGAGTATGTACTTAATGTTTTACTTAATAATGGAATTGATGTAATCGTGTTGGGACGTGGGCACACACACATCTACTAAAAACGGCATGTGAACACCGAGCCAGGCATGCAACAAATCAAGTTTCAGCCCACAGAGAGCAGAGAAACCTGTTAAATTCAATACAAATTACAAGTACACTTGAAAGGCTCAGTACCTCCACCTAACAGATCTAACCCCACACTTTTGGCTTGTTTGTATTTATTGACTGTAGTGTTTGTTGCCAGATACATGCTCTCACAGTCTATGACAGCTGGTGATGGTGATGTCTGTCGAGGTTGTAAAAGCTAATTGGTGGTTGTTGGTTTTGTCTGTTGTTTGATGAAAATGAATGAAATTAGGTTTACAAAGAGAGACTGATACATATGTTTTCTTTATAAAAAGCTCTCTCTGACACCGGGTGCCTGTCTGCTTACAGATGCAATGCCACCAAGATCAGGAAGCTCTCATCCCCCGGCCTCGTGGGGCTTTGCCTAAGGTGTGTGCTGCGGCGCTGGTTGCCGTAACAATGGGGGGTGTCCTGTTTTTGTCTCCTGAAAGGTTATTTGGCTGGGTTGCCATGGTGATACTCACCCTAACCCTTGGCCCTCTTCTGCACGGGGTCTGTCTGCTAGCGGAGGAGATGCTGTACCATTCAAACACAAGGTGAGAGAAAAGTTGTGGTTGTGTGCAATCAGCTGTGAGAGCTTGAAAAAAAGATATCTGGTTTAGTTAGAGCTTACTAAGGCCACATTCCCATTAATCGAACTGCTTTCTGTTTAACATAATAACTTATTTATTGCCTTCCCTGTTTGGCAACACTAAACAAATATGTTTCTTATTAACAGTTTAATATTTGTAGTTCAGTTTGAATGACAAACTCTTTGCTGCCAAATCCTTTCAAAGTAAAGCTGTAGTAGAGGTTGTTCTCAGTAACTGTATGTTTACACTAATAACAGCTGGCATGACACAACCCTCTGTCCTTTTTTCTGTCTTCACCAGATATCGAGGCCGAGAGCTGCTGAGCCACGTGCTTCCAGCCTGTGGTTTGGGGGGAAAGACCCTTCTGGCTGCAGCGATGGCGGGCCTTCTGCTCTATCTGGCCGGACATCCTCTGCCGCACCAAGGCCAGTGCTGGAAACTCCTCTTCTTGACCTCGGTTCTTTACGCACTGTTAAAAAGCCTGGGAGTCCTGGTGAGGTCCACACAAATACCGCTGTCATTGTTTTCCACTGCGGTACAAACACAAAAAAAGTTTTTTACTGCCAACACATAAAAACACAAGTACAGCACTTTAAATAAGCCTGTAGACATCTCTGTATGTAACACTGCCATTATCCTTGGTAAGGACTAACAGAGTATGCTAAATAAAACGTATTTCAGTGACAGTGTTGATTCAGTATTCAGTTTAAAGATTCAATGTAAAAGATTTGTTTGTGAATGTACTGAAAACTCAACAGAGCCCTTCAAAGCAAGCAAACACTGGCTAACATCTCGAGCTGTGCGAGCAACAAAGAAGACACTTTGGCTAATAACATGCTAATAATCAACTAGTAACACATTAGGCCAACTGGCAAGATAGTAGCGACAATTTTCTGGCAATGTGAAGCAATGCTAACAAAATATATCAGGAGAAGATCGATTTATTAAATGAGCTCAAAGATCGCTGCAATGTCCAGATTCTTCCTGGCTGCTGGCTCATTTTGGTCAGTGTGGAAATTAGTGCCAATTAGTGAAAATAGTCATTCCTCCATTTATTTTCCATTATGTTGAACCAATGGTTGACATGGATAAGTGATAAGAGGAAATAACCTTTGATTTTCCTGTGATAACAGGTCTCGTTACATCAGGATAACAAAGATTATTTGTGTGAACTTGAGATAAGATTTCTTTTTTTGTTATTGCAAGCACAGCTATTATCAGCTTCCATGAGATAAAATTCAAGGCACGAGTTTACAAAAACGATCATTTGATATCAGATAATAAAACCAGCCACTTTAAGGACAAAATCTACTAAACTTATTACGTATTTTAAAACAATGCCTTTACAAGTAAAAGTTAGCTGCACCTCCTGTCCTGGAAAACTGGAAAAAACTGTGCAGAGGTAATCTCTCTCACTCTTTTCACAATCTTGATTGATTTAAATCGTTGCTTTTATAAGCAAGGTCAACATATAAGACATTCATATACTTTTACAGCTCAGAGTGCCATGGTAGAAGTGAAAAATAATAGCTCTATTTTAGTATAAGAGCGATACACTTGAGACAGAACAGTCCCTATGTAAGAACACTTCCTGAAGCATCAGTTGATTGTAATTGATGTGGCATTTCCGGAGTTAAAGGCTCAAAATATGTCTCCATCAGTAACAATGACCACAGCACTCACACTGTCCTCAAAGAAATACTGTATAGTTCTGAACAAAGCTCACAGTTCCCTCAGACTCCTTATAGAAACTTGCAGCATTATATATTCAAATCCAACTCAAACTTGGGTGTAGCTGTCTCCATTCCCTGCTTTTTTATCTAAAAATATATCCGTCCTACATTGGAAAGGGCAGCTTGGGTGCAGGGATGCCCTTTTCTTTTGCCAGGCAGCTCCTGAGAAGAGGTGAAGAGTTTTGACATCCTTTTGGCTGTTTCTGTGGTTGGTGTGCAGGGTCCATCAGAGGTGGAGGTGTCAGACATCTGCGAGGGGAGGAAGATGAACGTGGCCCACGGCCTCGCCTGGTCCTTCTACCTGGGCTACCTGCGACTGGCGCTTCCACGTCAGTAACGTCACACACACACACCATGTCTATTTGGTTTGTCCACCTTTTATTTCAGATTTTACCATGATCATTTAAAGCTTTACTTGTATAATATATTCAATTTAATTTAGTGATAGACAGTAATTATTTTGAGATAATCGGCATGATGTCTATGCTCACAAAGCCGATAAATAAAAGACACATCTGCCTTGTCAGTATGGCTGCTGTGGAATGATGTTAGTGCTCTTGTGAGTTGTAAACAACATTTTTTGTAGAATAAAATAGAATTGTAGATTTGTATCTATGAATACCTGCAACGACTGGTAAAAAACTCCCACATCGGTCTGTTGCATATACTGTTTTTAAGATAGCCTCTAAGCTGCTAAACCCTCATCAAATATAAATCTTTGGTCAGCTGTATTGTTTGTCCGTTGTGGTTTATAGGGCCATACTATTGCACTTTTCACTGAATAAACTGACTGTGCGGGTGTCCGTTTAGGTTTGGAGGAATCCATTGCAGCGTTTAGTGCCACCCATCAGGCCAGAAAATTGGGTCGTGGCTACAGGAAGCTCCTCATCCTCGTACCCCTCAACGCCAACATTTCTCACAAGCTGGAGGACGAGGACGACAGGATCAGTTTCTTTGACAACCTTCCCAACAATGAGATCGACAGGGCAGGAGTCCGGGGGCGGGTCTACAAGCACAGCGTCTACAGAGTACTGGACGAGCATGGGACGGTAGGCTGAGAATGTAAAATAACTGTGGTTCTATTAGTTTATATCTTTAATGGTGAATAAATGTTAAAGTTTTCATATACCCCTTAAAATCAACAAGGCCTCACGACCTCCCCATGAAGCTTTGGCGACCTCTAGTGGGGGTCGGGACCCCTGGGTTGGGGAACCATTGATTTAGATTATACCAGAATTTAGAAAGTAAGAACACATACACTGAAGTAGTTCCACAGGTGTTGAATCTTTTAAAGTTTAGATATAAACTAACAGAAAAAAAAAAGTTTATTTAAGTATGAATGAATTTTCAAAAAATGCATTATTCAAACAGAGAACTATATAAAAAAAATATAATATTCACAAGAAATAATAGCTCTATGCCCTCGATCTGTTTGGTACTTTTTAAAAAGGTGGCTGACAAATCTCCCAGCATGCATTGGGCAAAGGGCAAGGAAACACCATAGACAGTTCTCCAGTCTATCTAAGACATTATAGATCTTAAATTGCAAACTGATGACGTTGCCAATCACATTTGAAGCAGATAATCAGTAGCAGATTATTTTCAGAAATTTTCTCTCTGGTGCACATAAAAAATATTCAGTTAACATTAAATAAGGTAATCAGAGAACCTGCAGTTTGAATGCCACTGAGCTACTTGTGCTGTGATTCAACCCAGCGTCGGTCTTCTTATTGCCAGTGTGAGTTGAAAGACTTAGTGTGCTGACATTTTCTCCTTTCATCAGATTTGTAAAGACTGCACAGCTAAAGTGCGACAGAGAGAGAGAGAGAGAGAGAGAGAGTCAAAGTAAAGTGACAGACTCGAGGGGCTGTGTCTGTATATATTTTTTGAATATTTCAAGACAGCACTTCAGTGTGCTCTATATTCAATATGTTTGATGTAGCAAATCATTGTACTCAAAACCACCTCTGTAGTTTAGTCGAGGGAACGGAAGTTTAAACAGCTTGAAAGCAACCTGGGTTTCGTGTGAGACCAGAAATAACCACCTTTTATATCAAAGTGAATACCAGAAGGATGCTATGGCTGCATTTTACAGTTACAGTGAGTGTGAATGTGTGGCGAAGTGATGAAGAATGTTTTGTTTTTGACATTTACCTCAGCACTGTACTTAAATACAATTTTGAGGTACTTTATACTTACGCTCCAATACATTTCAGATGGAAATGCTTACTTACTATATTTATCCGACAGCTATGGTTGCAGATTAGGAGTTTACATACAAAACATGCAATGCTCTTATAATTTACTGTAGGTGCTGCAACTAATGATTGTTTTCATTTTAGATTAATCTGACAGCCATTCACTTAAAGCTGCAACAAGGAACTTTATGTTTTTTGTCGATTCTGGTGGCCCCTGTGGATAAAAAGCAGTAGTGTTTCCACCACTGTTTCATTGATTTTAAGAACAATTTGACCGAATCGCATTAAGAATAATTATACAGAAATAGCCAAACTTCTAGCTGAAGGTCTTGTTTCTTTATTGTCATATAGAGGCATCAGTGTTAAATTGAGACTGTTTCATAACCAGTTAAAAACTCCTTGCTGAATTTATTTAAATCACATCCGGTAGTTTATGGTGACTAATGATAGCAAACTTCAACAGATATTACTGCGTTCATAGATGTAAATGAGTCATTTTATTGACAACTTTCCTCTGCTTGTGTTAGCGTTGCAGTGAATTTACATTATGACTGCCTAGCAAAAGTTACATAATATTGCTTTAAGTAAACATTTAGCTAATATAACAACACTTGACTTGACTGAAAGACTTTGTGAAATATTTTATATTGTTGTATTGCTATTTTTTATTGAAGTTACAGATTACAGAGTAGAAAAATGGTATGAGCCAGATGTTCAAATGAGTTACTGGACTGAAAACTGACTGCTGTACGGTTGAGACTGATAGCTTTACTGGTAGATTTACTAATTAGAATTCAGTGATACTCGAAACATTACACCATAAAAGACTTTCTTTCTTATCTTACACATATTTTGAGACCTTAAAATAAATACTGAGACTTGTGATGCCCTTTCAACACAGATCATTTGCACTTTCAGATACAAAAATAAAATACTAGCAGTTTCCCTTCCATAGCACAGCATGAGTACCACCTCCTGGTTAAACCTGTGAATTTACCAGTGGAGAAGTCATATAGTAAAGCACAGTAACAGCCCCATCTACCTGTAAAACATGGTAAACAAACATTTCTGGTACCAAACATCCACAAGCTTTTAAAGGATTATTTGTCCATTTAATGTGTCCACCTCTGGGCGTCTGTTTTGTTAACATACGTGTGCATGTGCATGTGTGTGTGTGTGTTTGAACAGGCCCATGACTGTGTGGTGGAGTATGCCACACCTCTTCTGACACTTTACAGCATGTCCCAGGAGACTAGCGCTGGTTTTGGGGAACCTGAGCGCAGGCAGCAGGTTCTGCTCTTCTACAGGACCTTGCAGGACATACTGGAGCATTCGCTGGAGTGTCGCAACCGCTACAGACTCATTCTGCTCAATGGTAGGAAGACAGTCAATTGTGTGTCTGTGTGTGTGTGTGTGAGTAAACTTTATACAAACCTGGCAGTGATGAGTCAGACTGCTTTTAGAGGGATTTCAGCTTTTAGCTTATCCGCTTCCCCACGAGGATGGACAATCAGGATTTGTGTATTTATGGATTCTTTTGCAGTTTATGTGCTTATTACTTAGGCTGCACAGTGTGTAACTGAAATAAAGGTCAGAGTATCAGTGTGGAGAACTTATCTACGGCCTTATGTGATCTTTCTATCTTTGTATTGGCAGTAAGAACTCTTAACATAAATACTCTATTATGTGATTTTAACAAAGGTATTAGATTATTACTGTCTCCACAAGGATACATTTCTAAAAAAGCAGTGAGCAAACAACAATGTAAAAAATGAAACAAACGATAGATTGTTTTCTTCTTCTTCTTCTTCTTCTTCTTCTTCTTCTTCTTCTTCTTCTAGATGAGCATGAGGACGACCCTAACTTCCTGTCCAAGGCCCTCCTCAGACACCTGCAGCAGCAGGAGAAAGAGGAGTTCTTCCTCCCCCCTCAGCAGGAGGGACAACAGTTCGAAAGTCGTTCAAGTGCACCCATAAACGGTGAATGGCACAACCCTGACCCCATGAGCAGGGAGCCCACGCTCATGTACAGCCTGGAGAGACCTCAACCTCTAAGGGAACCTGTTGAGGACACGGACATTTATCCAGGGAGAATATAAACACACACACACTTGTCAACAATAACTGAAAAATAATAGCAATTAAAATATGTAGTCTCTTCTTTAAATAAATGCAAACATGTGCTTTGAAGATGAGTTGTGTTTTATTTGACCCCTTTATACATTTAATGGTTTGGTGAGAGACAGATGAGACTATAGAGGAGCTTGCTGACCAGTGACGGGAGGAGAGAACACAGTTACACATTATATAATTATCATGGTAAAAATTAACTGCAATTGTTAAAGCCATCAAAACAAAACTGAATATGACCTATTTTTAGACCTCGCTCTGGGTGTAGACTGATGCATGAATCAGGCCACAGCACTAACATTCAGACTGTATGTACAGAGTGGAAACACCCTGAACAGCTTGTGCTAAGGAAGTGTCGCTAAAGTATTGTTTGAAGAACAGGACATTCTGCCAACATCCAGTTAATATGTAGTTAAATTAGTCTGGAGTAAAGGTGTCCACTAACCCTGCTGATGCCAGTTGGTTCATTCAGTAGTCTCAGTCACTTGACAACTTTTCTAATGTAACCCCAATTATCTGACAGAGGGATAAGGTTTTGTCTCATAATCATAATAAGGGATCATGTTGACTTGTGTATTACATGAATGTTTGTATGCGCTCAGGAGACTATGAGTAATACAGTGTATTGTGAAGTAATGAAATGAATTAGCTGATGACATCTGCACTGCCATCTATGGAACAGTGCCTCGTAGCCGTAGAAAAACTTGTACATTTGTAGCATAGCATATCATTATTTTGATATACCTGTGATTATACATATGATCTGAGGAAGGACACAGCCTTCACACAGTGTGCATCTTTAATTCAAATACTTTTACTACCCTTTTTAAGGCTTATACACAACCCAACTTTAATATCTCACCCTATCTAACTGTGGACAGACTGTTCTTGTCTGATCACGTCCTCCACTGACATCCTCATTCACCTGAGGAAGAGTTGCTCTTTCTGTCTTTCCTTACATAGCTCACTAATGCATCACAGTCATCAAACATCCTCTGTCAAACACAATTTCCAACCCTATTTACTGATGTATGTCCCATAGATTTAAATGCTCCTACCATCTGTCTCCCAACAATGAGCCCTCTTTTAAACTCACTTTTTCCTCTTGCCATCTTGATCAAAATCAACTGGGCCTGCTCAGCATTATTATACAAGCTACAGAGCAGACTGGATGTTAATTGCTCAATTGTACTATGCAGTGCACCTGCTGAAGCATCTGCATTCATTATGTTTCTCATTTATTAAGGTATTTCCTTTCATTTGTCACCTGTCTGTTAGTAGACCAGGAGAACGGGAAAACTACAGCGAGATTAAAGGTAGGAGAGCTCACAGGAGTGTGCTTTATGGCTATATAAACAAAAGAAACAGTCATAAGACACCTGACACCAAGCCTGTTTATCTGCGCCTCACCTGCACAGACACACACCTCATGACCCGCAGCTGTAACTACTCGTTGAGGTTGCATCAGACATGTTTACAACAGTCCGTCTTCTCAACAGGGCAGAGGTGAGAGGAAGGACAGAAGGATCTGATCCATATTTATTTATACTGCATGATTTATAATGTACAAATGTATCATGTACAAATAAAGACCACATGGAAATCAAACAATGAAACATTGTTTTAATCTGCACTGCACACAAAGTACCCTTCACCTTTCCAGACCTCAGAAAATCCTTCCAAATCCTCCACTGGTAGAACTGCTGATAACTCACATCTACACAGGCTGTGACCTGTGATACGAGGTCACAAGTAGACTTTAAGTGGTCAAAATGTCAAAAAGCTGCTGCACTATATGGGAATTCAAGTTTAACAGTTTAACACCTCTGACAGTCAACAAAAGGTCATTCATTCAACTTCATTCATTTAAAGTAATTTGCAGTTCAATAGGTGCCTTAAGCAATCTCTCCAGGAAGTAACAGCAATGCAAATTCAACCAGTTCCTGTGAATTCTGCACAACCTTGTAATTTTGTCAAATCATCGCAAATTTGACCAGTTGTTGTAGTTTCCTGCTAGTCGAATGTTACTCACCAAACATATGTCAAGATGATTAGTCAATAAATCAATTAGTCCATAAACCATATAATCTTGACATTTTTGAGTAATTTGTCAGATGCTTAACTTGCAGTGAGTACTACAAAATAATGATTTTTTAAATACTTTATAAGCAATTGATCGACTAAGAGAAAACAAGTTTACAACAAATAGTGGACTTTTGCTGTAGCAAGAAACATGAGCTGGTATATTAATAACATGTGTTCTCCAGACAGTCATTTAATCAGGATACTGATATATTTTTAACACTTCGTTAGATTAGGATTTAAAAAAACAAAAACAACTACAACTCATTCTTAGCTGCAGATGTGAGTTGCTAAAGTAACAGCTGACTACCAGAAACAGGTCTGACCTGTTCTTCACCACCAAGAACGATACATCACAGGCAGCTGATATCAGCTGATGCACTGGTATAGATGGATGGATAACACTGACAGCATTGTGACTCTGGCTGTTTGCTTAAGTGGCTGTAGGACACTGAATATCAGTGGCCTGAGCTCATCTGAACTGGTAATAAATCAGTTTCAGTCTATGGGATTATTGAGTGACACACCAGCAGGGTTTATTACATACTTTTATAATTACAACTAGGTCCAAAGAATCAACTGGTATCAAATTATTGATTGTTTTTTGTTGTTGTTGTTGTTGTTGTTGACAAAACATACAATTTGTTAGAAATATCTACTAACAAGGGTCCTAGAGTTGGTTGAAGGGGATCCCCAGCAGAATGTATGGAAGATTTTTACTTTTTTTTTGAAAGTTGGACGAACAAGGGAAGAAATATGGTTGGCTGTTTTGATTGATTGTAGTTTATAGTGATCCTAGTTTGATCATAAATATGAAGACGTTATTACTCAAGAGGGAATACCTTAAGACAATGGTTGCCAACCTTTTTCCTTACAGACTCCTTTTCTGTCATTGAGTAAACTGACCACTGACTCACTGGAACAAGCTGTCTATGATTTTTAATTAATTGTATTTTATGGATATGGATATTAACAGTATAGAATACCTGATAAACTGTACAATGAACCCAAATAGTGAACACAATAACTGCAGGAAGTCTGTGTAAATGAGCAGTTTGAATGAATTTTGAGCAGATTATTTCCTGTAAATATTATGTCAGCTTTTTTGTAAACTTTTTATACAATTCTCTGTCAGTATTGTGTATTTTTCATTTTTTAACAATCACACATTCTATCTAAGCAAACAATTTAATTTAGTTTTCTTCACAGAATTAGACAGAATGCTGAGATAAAGGGCCTACAGTGTATATATTTTAAGTTTTCTTACACCCCTTAAAATCAAACCGGCCTTACAACCCCCTTTGAAGCTTTGGCCTCCCTCAGTGGGGGTCCCGGTCCCCCGGGTTAGCAACCACTGCTTTAAGACAAAATCCTGTTGGGGGTCCGTGGTTTATGTGCATCTATTGTGGGGGTCCTTGAAACCCCTGCTCTATCACTCAATGCCTAATCTATCTAATCTTCCTGTATAGTTGTTATCTTTTATTCTTTATACATACAACTCTAATTCTATTTCTTTCTTCTATTTTTCTATTTTATTTTGTTATGTAATGTGTATTTCTTTTGTCGTATCTCCTGTGTTCTATCCAGAGCTGCTGTAAGAAGGGAATTTTCCCAGTGTGGGATCATTAAAGGCTATCTTATCTTATCTTATCTTCTTCCATTAGAATCTATTCACAAACAGCTGCATGTCCGCAGTGCATTTAACATGTGACTTATTGTTCATTCAGTTAGCCATGACTTCATAAAATATCACGAAACATTGAATCAGTGACCACCATTAGTCAGAGTTTGTAATGATTGTTCAAGTTAAAGTGTAAAAAGTGCTATTTTTAATGCATTAAAGTAGGCTTACATTTGGAACTGATAACAATGATACATTTGTTACATATCATACACCATTATTGTGTTTCAGATACAAGGTCAAAGAGAAAGAAAGGCAATATTGTTTAGGTAATGCGCATAAACTGTCACTGTCACCGCACAGTAGTTCCCCCTGCAGTTCCTGTGAAAGACACTTCCTCCTTGGTGGCAAGACTTTCTGATGAAAGCATCTAATCTGAACCTGATTGGTTAGCAGCTGTGATGTCACAGCAGGGAGATTTCCCAAGAAGGTGAGTCAGGCGAAATAAATCAACCTGCAGAAGAACCACCTTCAGCGTCAGTGTCTGCTCTCACGTCTGCACCCTCAGAGGAGGACTTCAAGGCAAACCCTACTGGCTATGTGTGTCTGAACTGTGGTCCCAATGTGAACAACGGCTAGTTTTAAAGTTAAACTAGAAAGACAGGCAACTCAAGAGAATGTTAATATGAGTATTTTAAGTATAGTTTCGTCTATTCTACACCATTAATCTACAGCACAAATATGTATTAAACAAATATGTACTCAGATTAGTCACTAGGATAAAACCAGGGTTAGGACTACAAAACTACTTCAAGTTAACATAAAATATACATTTCAAAAACTGATTTGGAGTCAGAGAAAGGCAGCTAAATTTATATGTATATACGTACACACATAACTACTTTTTGATACTCACTAATACGATGAAGAACTACAATAGTTTCTTATTCATGTTTGCCAACCAATTGTGAATCTAATTTGTGTGAATATTTTACATGGTGGTGGGGGGAGTTGGATAAATCTTAAGCAATACATGGAGAGGGGGAAAATACAGTCCTGTGTTTGGTGGATACACTTCCGATGCTCCACCAGGTGTGTGTGTGTGTGTCTGAATGCTGTGTGTCAGACCATGTTACTCACCTGTGAGTAAAGCAGAGCTCATTCAACCAAGTCTAGACCTGATGTGAAAAAAACACATAAACTGCCTCACAGGACACTGAAAGCAGATGTCCTCAATGAACAAAATGTCAAGAATATATATAAAAATGTACTCTTCTATGTAATTTCTTTCAGTTTCTCAACATTCATGGCAGGTTAGGG